GCCCTGGATTGGGCATCGGAGGACCTGGGTTTGAATGCTGCCTGTGTGACCCCAAAAGGGGCAGGCCACTTCCTCTCTAGGCTCGTTTCTTTTCAGTAAATTGAGGGGATTGGACCAGATGATCTCTGAGATCCCTGCTCGCTCTGAGGCAGAATGATTTCCAGAGTCCAGCAGAACTTGAGCAGTTGGTAATAATCAAACGCCTGCCCTTGGCTCAGCACCGGCCAAGATGCTCTTATGGAGCTTACAGTCGGTCTTGTGGAGGGGAAGACAATGAAGAAGATGAATTTGGAGAAGAGAGCCAGGCTCAGAGCTGAGGGGATATGAAAGGGGCTGGGTATCAGGGAAGGCTTAATAGAACAGGCAGCCCCTGGCAGGCCCCAGGGGAATTTTAGCTGGTAGAGTGAGATGGGGAATAAGGAGACAAGTCCATTCCATGCCAGAAAAAGCACGCGGATGGCCTTTATGAGGCAACCCATGGTGTGCAGAGCCCCGTATTTGGGTACCAGGGGAGAGAGGGAATTTAGATAAAACTTCCCACAGCTCTTGTCCTCAGGGATTACAGTTTAGTCAAGGACATACTGAATACCTAAAGCAAGGAAATATCAAGAGGCAGCTAGGTGGTTCAGTGGATTGAGCACCAGGCCTGGAGTCAGGAAGACCTGAGTTCTAATCCAGCACCAGACATTTACTAGTTGTGTGACCCTGGATAAGTCACAGCCTCTGTTTGCCTTAATCCAATGGAGAAGGAAATGGCAAACTGCCTTAGTATCTTTGCCAAGAAAACCTCACGGACAGCAATGGTGTGCTACAGGGTCAGGAAGAGACGGCCACGAAGGCAAAGAAATAGCAGGCCTCCCACCTGACTGTTCCCAGTGAGCCTTCCCTCCAGCCTCTCGTCGTATGTTGGGATTATCATCTCCACGTTAGGAGTAGAGATACTGAGAGCTAGCAGTGGAATGATGGGCCCCAAATCACTGTTCATGACTGTGACCTTTGCTCTGGACCAGGCTGGGACCCCTTCAGGCATGGGCCAGAGCAGCAAAGGTGCAGCGATGATGGCAGTGTGTTGGAGAGGGGTAACCTCAGGGAAGGCAGCTCTCACAGTAGAGCGGAAAGGGCGTTGGACTTGGGTCAGAAGATGTAGGCCTCAGCCCTGCTCAAGGTGGCAGTACCTATCTCCCAGGGATGTTTCAGCACTATAGAAACGTCAGCTGCATTTACTTTTATTGTTCCAGAGAGGCACCACGGTGTGGTGGGGGAGCTGGTCAACTTGACTAGTCACCTTGGGTTCCAATCCCAGGTCCTCTGCTCACTAGCTCAGAGACTCTGGGCAAGTCACTTCTGTGAACTTTATTTTCTTCATTTGTAAAATGGGAATTACAATACATGAAGCACCCACCTCTGAGTTAGTAGTGCCCTAATCCTCAGTTTCATTATCTCCAAAATGCATATAGGTAACACTTGCTCCCAGAGCTATTGGGAGGATAACACTTTGTTAAGTGCCACAAAAATAAAAGGTGCTATTGGGATTGTTTTACATCTTTCCTGTTTAGACTTGCTGGGGAGGGGGAACCGAGGGATGGAAGGCCCAGATCATCTCTCGGGATTTGGTCACTATGGGGCCCAAGGGGAGGAGAGCCACCACCCACATCTGCACCTGCTGAGGGAGTTTAATGGAGTCCGTGCAGACACTGAGTCCTTCCCAACATCCTCCTTGCCTCCCCAGGTGACAGACCTGCGCAATGTGGTCTACCAGGAGAAGCAGCTACCTAAGGTCTTCTCAGGCCCTGGGTATGTGATAGGAAGAATGAATTCTAAGGAGACCAAGAAGCTGAATGACCAGTCAGGTGAGCCTCCGGCTGGGAGGGGAGAAGCCAGGTGGTGGGGGAAGCTCCCTACCCTGCTGGAAAATGCTTCCCAGAATGTTGGAATTGATGGGGATCTTGGAAGGCATCAAGGCCAAACCAATCTGGACATGATCCCTGCCAGAGGTGGCCCGCTTATTCCATCCCACTTTAGAGCACCTCTCGTTGTTAGGGGGGGTGCCCACATGACAGTGTTCCAGATAGTTGAAGGCAGCCATCATATCCTTCTCAGTCTTCTCTAGACCAAACATCTCCAATTGTGTGAGCTGGCGCTGGTGTTTTGTCCCTTTCCCCTTCTTTCCAACCTTTCTAAAATGTGCCCGGAATGGCCAAGCATCCCCATGTGGTCTGCTTGAGGCCCCTCCCTTGGGAAGGATGCTCTGCCTCTATTAATGCTGCCACGTGGGCTGGGGTGGAGCTGCCTGGTCACTGTTCCCCCCAGCCCTTATCTTGTCCATGTGACCGTTTGCTGCCTTTCCAAGCCACCTCGACTCATCCTGTGCAAAGCCGATTTTACTTTAGGTCCAGGCCTTGAAACTGATCCCTGTTCATTTGATTCAGCCCATCACTGGATCCCAGTGATGATCATCTGCCTTGTTAGCTCTCCCTTCCCGTAAATTTGATAAGCATTTGGTCTAACTCCAGACCTTCATCTAAATCAAAGATGAAAACGTTGAACTTCAGAGGGCCCAGGGCAGATGCCATGTCTAAACTCCATCCCTTTGACAGTGACCGACAACCCCTTTCTTTTTGTGGGGAACTCCTCCCAAACTTCCACAATCACCAAAGAGCAGTTTCTGAAAAAGTTTCCTAAATTTGTGATCCGCCACGGGGAGGTGATTGAGGTCCGGGAACCTATCCGGGAAACGCTGGAGGTGAGCGTCACCTGCCCCCTGGCAGTGGGGCCCCGAAGCAAGGGGGCCTGGAGCACCCCCCACCAGATTCGTGTGAGCCTTCGAGCTCCCGTGTCCAACGGGGAGGACAGTATTATTGCCCCATAGAGCAATTCCCAGGGCAGGAGCTGTGATCACACAGAGGGGGAGGGAAGAATACGCAGCTGTTCTCACTTTGGATCCCTCTGGGGGCCCTGGTGGGCAGAAATGGGCACTCCATAGAACAGTCTCTCTGACCCCCGCAGACTAGAGAACCAGACAAGCCGCTGGGTGAGGTCGCTATCCTGGGGGGCACCACCACCTCCCTGAGTTTTCCCTGAGCGGGGCAGCGTCAGCCCTTCCCCCTCCATGTTACGGTCTTCCTCTGATTCCTGCTCTTACTAAGCTTCTCTTTAATGGGAGTCTCCTCTGCACTTCCATTAGTCAGCACCACGTCGTCTTCCTTACCTTGTCTATCGTGGGGAATGGGTCCTGTTTCCCCTCCTGCCAGCATTCCTCACCCCATCCCCACTGGGGTAGCAGGTGTGTGTGTGTGAGAGAGATTAGGCAGGGCTCAGTCCTCAAAATAAGGGTGGGGAGGGAGGGCTATAGCCTCAGGGCCAAGGTTTTGCTTCCTTGCCTCAAAGGGCTGCTCAGGGCCCCAGGAGATCTTGGTGGAGACTGAGAGGTGAGAATCCTGGGAGGAGGAGATGGGGGCCGGGCAGGGCTGGTGATGAGGGGGGTGGTGTTGAATTACCCTTACAGGGTCCCCAAGGTGGGCTGGGTGGGGGAGGGAGAGGCCGCTGGGACCAGTCCAAAGCACCTGCAGCCCTGGGCCCCAGGGTGAGGGGGGCTGGAGTCCCCAGGCTGATGGGGCTGGGGCCCCCAGGCTGAGGCAGTCCTCCCCGGAGATTCCCACCACCACTCTACGGATCAAGTCTGAGGATGGGGAGCAAACATTCGTGCTGGCCATGTCGCCTGCAGACACCATTGGGGACGTCAGACAGTACCTTGCCCAGGCCAGGTCAGTGCCTCCCATCTCCACCACTTTGCTCCCAGTTCTGCAGCCACTCACACACCCTGCTTGGCTGTCCCAACCAGCTGTCCCTCCTCAGGCTCTTAAGAACATTCCAGAACTTGAAGTGATTGATCATGTCCCTCCCCCCATCCCCCCCCCCCTTACAGATGGGGAAGGTGAGGCTGAGAGGGAAGTAACTTGCCCAGATTAAGAGTTAATGGCAGAGCCACAACCTAAGCACGGGTCTTTTTACTCCTAGGCCAAGCGTCCCCTCCCTTCCCTAAAGTGTCTCCCTGAAAAAGAGGGAAATACTACTCGGACCCCTCTCCTCCCATCCATCGGCAGTCTTACTGTCCCTGATGCCCAAGTGAGCAATGCCCATGTGGTCTCTAATGTGATCCCTCTCACCTCAGGGACATGGACCCAGCCACATTTGAAATCTTCACTGTCTTCCCACCCACTGTGTACACAGATGATTCAAAGACACTGCAGGCCTGTGAGCTGGTGCCCAATGCCATCCTGCTTCTTCGGCCCCCCACGACTCCACACCCAGTTCCCAGTCTCTAATAAAATCACATTTCCCCATCCACTTTGGGGACTCTGAAAGGCTTGATCTGTGTGTTCTCTTTGCTCCAAACCAGGCCCCTACCTACCCAAAGCTAGCTTCCTATGGTGAGGTTAGGACCGCAGCTGGGCTGGGGGGAGGGGAGAAGAGCAGAGAGTCCACAGCTGGGTGAGGGTGGGGCCAGGCCTTTGTCTGCTCCGAGGGATTCACTTGTCTCTCCTCTTCAGCCCAAGAGATCAGATCAGACCTTGGCTAGCCAAGGAGAAGCAAGGCCAAAGAGTAAGCTGGAAGGTGTAGTCCTGTGGCTGTAGGGGATGCAGACTCAGCTTGCTTGGGGGGCACAGCCTCCTATGATACTCCCCGACAGCTCACACCTTAAATTGGACTGAGTCAAGGACTACAGCTTCCATTGCCCAGACCGTCAAGGACAGTCCCCCAGACACATGCCCGTATGCACCTAGACTGAAAGGCAGGTCCGTGTACAGTTCCACGCCATACACAGAATGGTGTGTGAGCCCACCACAAACACGTGATGCATGGCACAGGGCTGTAAATACTCCCCACCCCCAAATGTTGGTGCTGAGGGAGCCAAAGGAAGGACAGAAACGCAAGACACAGGCCACTGACCCTCACTGACCTTTCCCCTGGCCACTGCAAAGGACCAATCACAAACTGGCTCCAAGCCAACTGGAACTTTAATCGCTCCTCAGGAACAGAGATCACTGAAGAACAGGATCTGTGGCGGGTCCCCAACAGGGCATTATGCCTCACGGTGGGCTTGTCACCTGGCCGCCTTTGGGAGGGGTAGCAGCAGGAGGGAGGCTCCCTCCCTGGAGATCCCCTGCAGACTGAGGAATGAGGGGGAGGGGGAGGGGAAGGATACTTCGGACACTTGCTAAGACTGATGGGCATGGAATGTAGCCTCAAGGGAACGGAATGGCAGAGGTCCAGGAATGAGAAAGGGAAAAGAGGGTGAGTTATACCCAGGAAAGGCAGAGGATCCAGGGTCAGGGTAGGAATACAGGACATGTGGGTACAAAGTCAGGGAGGGGGAGATGAGATCTAGGATTAGCTGTATGGGGATCTGGAACTGGAACCCTGATATACAGTACAGGTACAGAAATTGGTCCCAGGGTCCCTTCATGGCTGGGAGAGGAAGTTAAGTGGGGAGAGGGAATGTTGGTGAGTCTATGGGGTGGGGGGTCAGTCCAGCTTCAGGAACTCCTGCAGGGTGTCCTGTTCCACAGCCTCCACAAAGAGCTCGTAATCCTAGGGAAGAAAGGGGACCCTGAGTGCTGGGTTGTCGGGGTCCTGCCTGTCCCCACACCCCTACAGCCCGCCCTGGAGTCCCTTACCCCACAGTATTTGTTCCCGTTGCATATTTGGGGTGGTATGGCCTTGGGGTCCCCAGCCAGGGTCCTCATCTCCTCCCGCAGGGCGTTGTCCTGGGAGATATCCACCAGTTCGTACTGGATCCGCTTCCCATCCAGGATGCGGGTCACCTCACTCTGCTGGGATTTGATCTAGGGGAGCCAAGAGGGGAAGGATGGTGGGGGCACTGAACCGGGGGCATTGGAGTTGGGGGAGAGAGAGAAGCAACAGCGGGAGAGGCGAGTCAGGGGTCGACGTGTGCAGGTGCGGGTCCGAGAGTAATGAGAACCTGGGATGCGAGGCGGGGGCTCGGGACGATGGGGCAGGGGGCCTCCATGCCAGCCAACGTCTGGAGGGGGGAAGGCGGAGGTGGGCATCGCTGGGGTGGGGGACACTCCCCGGGCAAGCGAGGAAGCGGGGTGTCGGAAGGAAGGGGAACCAGAGCAGGGGTGGGGTCAACTCTGAGCCGGAGCCCCCAGCCCCGCCCCTTGGGGAGGCCCGGCCCCGCGGCCGGCGGGCAGCGCCCCGGCTGCAGGAGGGAAGGCGGGGTAGGCTCCCCGGACTCCGGGGTCCCGCAGCAGCCCACGACTAGCGGCCCCGCTCCGCCCCCTCTTTCTTTCCCCGCTCCGCCCCCTCTTTCTTTCCTCGCTCACCTCCCGGGAACCGGTGACCGAGGTGCTGTAAACCCGGAGGCCGCTCATGCTGGGGCCGGGCCGGGCTGGGCGGACGCGCGAGAGCGGGGACAGCGGAGCTGCTCTGGGGCTGCGCGGGCTGGGCCGGGTCGGACAGACGACGGACGGACAGACAGAAGACCAGGAGCAGCAGCAGCAGGAGCAAGAGCAGGACGAGGCGGAGGAGGCGGCGGCCGCGCGGAGCTCGGGAGGGGTTTCCTTCCTGCCCCGCCCCGTGAGTCAGAGGCGCTCGGGACCAATGGGCGGGCCCGGAGGGCGGCTGGGGGCGGAGCCTCCCCTTCAGCCTCCGCGGCGGGGGAGGGGGTCGCGGTCGCGCGCTCTTCCTGGAGACCCCGGCAGCCCGTGGCCTGGGGTCTCGTGGGCTCCCCGGGCCCAGCCGGCTCCTGCCTCCGAGGGCCCTCCCCGGGCCGGGGCCGAGGGGGATGGGATGGGAGGTGCAGAGGAGCAAGCACAGCCGGGCCGGGCCTCCCCCAGGCTTCGCACAAACCCCCCCCCCCCCCCCCCCCCCCCCCCGCGGGGCCAGCCCGGGCGGGGCCGGCCCCCCCCCAGGCTCCGCCCACCCCCCCCCCCCGCCCTCCCCGAGCCAGAGGCAGGGCAGCGGCAGCGGCGGCGGTCCCCCAGCTCCCTGCGCCCCAGCCCGGGCCAGAGTCTGGGCTTCGGCACCCCGCGCGTCCCGGCCGGGGAAAGCCCCAGTTTCCCCTTTCTGAAGGCAGGTAGAGGCGGTGAGGACTGGACGCAGATACCTTCTGGGGCACTCCGAGTGGAGGCCACGGCGGGCGGCCACGAGGTCCCGGGCCCCCCCAGCCACTGCCGACGGCCTGGCACAGACCCAGAGCCCCGGGCCTGCTCCTGCCCAAGGGTCCAGGGCCCATGTTAGTTCTCTCTAGGACTTCCTCCTCTAAAAGAGGAGGAAGAATAAAACCTGTGCAGCCAGTTAAATCTTTTTATTTTGTAATCAAAATAATACAAACCGGTCAATATGACAAAGATTCATATAAATACTTTATCTGTGCTTATAAACTTTGAGGAATAACAGCCCTGAGCTCCGCCCTGGCTCCCAGCCCCCGGTGGAGAACAAGAAGGCAGCTTGGCTTCGACTAGGAGGATGCCCGAGGCCAGGGGGAGGGAGGCAGCCTCTGCGGCCACAGCAGCTTTGTCTGAACACATCCTGTAAAATTAAACACAACTGGGGAAGGGCACCCCCCCCCCAATCTGCTTACTAGCCTGAAGACCAGAGTCAGGGTCGTGCAAGCTCCTGGGGCAGCAAGGATCTGCACCAACCACGCCACGGGGCCAGCTGTGATCACACATGTTCTCACATGTACACCTAGGACAAGCACACAGAGCCAGGCACACATGAGGGCATCACTCTCCACACTGGAAAGATGAAAAAGGGGGGCTGATCCAAGGCTTCCCTAACAGAAAAACCAATATAACAGGCTCTGTGAACAACTCAAATCCAACCTGCACCTGGAACTAAGAAGTCAACATGTTAACAGCTAAAAGATCTAGAACCCGCGGTGCCACAGCCTGCGTGGGCATTAGTGTTGAGGGTTTTCCAGGGGAGCCAACACACTCAGGCCTTCCCTCAAGGTGGGAGGGGCTTTTCCTAACCCAACAGGGCAGGAAAGGACAGAGAGGAGACTCCCCAAGAACCCAGGCAGCTCGCCCACAGCTTTCTGGGACGAGGTAGCCAGAGGAAAGGAGGGAAAAGGGACGCCTCTGCCCTACTGGCACCACAGAGGAGCAGATGCTCGGCTGAAGGATGGTGAAGGCCAGCTGCACCATTCCTCCCAGCAACAGCATCCAGTCCCCTACTGCTTGCAGAGACTAGAAATGAGGACAAAGAAAGTGAGCAGGTTTTGTCTGCTCCATAGCTAGGCACACCCACAATGCCAGGTTGAAAATATGGCCTGGGTGGCTCCAGGGGGCCAACTTAGCTGGGGGTGGGAGGTGAGAGGGAGAAGAATTAAGGCACAAGAGTGACAAGTAATCCACTTCCCCTTTACAATGCTATGGGGACTTGGCTAAATGAAAAGACCCTGAGATATATGGGATGCTCCTTGGCCCCCGAGATGAGAAGGGTCCTTCCTTCCTTCCCCCTCCTAGATCATCTCATCTTAGTCAACCCTGAGGGGAAAAGATGGAGATCTGTGCCTGGGCACCCCAACCCTGGGCATGTGGTATCTTAAGGCAGGGTCGGAGAGGCATGGAGAATCCTTGTTGTTAATGATCTGAGGGCAATCATAGCAAGTGTCCAGGGACTCATTCTAGCCCGGCCTCTTAAGGAATGCTGTGGGCAAAGCAGTGTAAAGTTGATCCTGGTTCCCATCTGCTAGGATGGCGTAGTGAGGCAACAGACCAGGCTTCCTCTGACCGGAGCCTGAGGCCAGAGCAGGGTTCTCCTGGACAGCAGGTTGTGCCGGGGGAAGGCCAGTTAATGATTAACTCGATCTCCCCCATCACCACCAAGGGGCACAAAGCAGGCCTGGCAAGTGCCAATAAACATGTTCCTGAAGGAGAAGACATATCCTTCGCAGGAGAAGTTATTCACCACTCCCTCACAGCAATCAAGAGGCAGTCACTGGCCTGGCCTCTCCTCTGGCTGGTTCCCCCTTCTATTTCCTAGGTCATCACTGGGTGATGCAGTTGTCCCCCATGTCCTGGGCATATCTGTCAGACATGGTGGTACGTAATTCTTCGATGTCCCGGTGCAATTGCCTGACTTCTTCTAATTTCTTGATGATCACATCTGGCTTTTGCAAATCTAGCTCAGTCGAGGGGTGGGACACAGCTGGAGAGGAAAAGATTTGGGAGGAAAAGTTCATTCAGTAGGCCTATTGAGAGTAGCATGCCATGAAGAGAGACCCACAGCCTTGGAACATGGCATTGCAAGGGGCAACTTATTCCCTACCCGGGGTTGGGTCAACCTTGGATCAGACAAATCAACATTTATTTAGAAACTACTATGTGCAAGGAGCTATGGGACTTGAAAAGATAAGCCTTTAAGTTCCTCAAGGAGGCTAAGGTGGAAGTGCTGGCCTCAGAGGCCAAAGGCCTGTGACTGAATCTAAGTGTAACTCTTGCTGGTGACCCTGGGAAAATCCCTGTGCATCTCTGGGTCTGAAGCTCCTTGTAGTTTTTTAAAAGGAGATGATACCTATATGATGCACCTCCCAGGGCTGCTGGGAGAAAAGGGCCTTGGAAACCACCAAGACCATGATCATGGCTCCATCTGGATCTGATCATGCCCGCTCAGACACTTGGTAAATCTGGATGACCACAACTGGCAGCTTCCTTCTAGTTCTGTGATGCCTAATGAGGATCACTTCCTAGCCAAGGCCCCAGCACCCACTTTGGCCCTCAGACTTACAATGGATGCCCAGGAGGAGGGATAGGTTGGGGTCTCGGCCCTGGGCTCTCTGGGTCACAATGCTGCATACAGCCTGCAGATCGTGCAGGCAGCTGCCCAGCTCCTGGTGCAGCTCGTGGGCCAGCTGGGCTGTATCTGCAGAGGGCAAAGAAGTTGGCTGGGCCTGGCGAAGGTGCTCCTGGAGGGTCAGGTTCTTCTCAATCAGGTCCTGGTTTTGCACTGAAAGCTGAGCACACGGGCAAGCCATGATTAAATCTAGGCTGGGGGCGGACAGACATAAGGCTCTGAGTCAGCAGCCAGCAGCCAGGCCCTGGGCTGGGCCCCCAGATAGCAGGGTCTGATTCTATCCTCCCACCCACCGGGTAAGGGAGTGTTTCTCTGTGAAGCCTTGGCCTGCCACAGTAGCTGCTTCCCACAGGGGACCTGAGTCACCAGCCTGCAGGTTCCTATTCAGAACCAGAGAAGTTCTTCTCCACCCCTTGGAAATGCATCTGCAGCCAGTGCCTCAGCCAACACTGTTAGCCAGGCCATTAGAGAAGCCTGAACACATACAAGTGAAATCTGAGGAGAACAAAACCTCCGCTGGAGATACTGGTTTCAATCTTTCCCCTCCACCCTACCAAGAGTGGCTCTGGGCCAGGCTGGCTGGGCCCCATCTCTGTGAGGGAGGTGAGGAAAGAAGAGGCAGCAAGAAGAGCAGAAGCCTAGATGATCAATGTGTACCCAGGATCTGGGGAAATGCCCTGGGAGACTGCCATTTGCTGTGTGACCTTCAGCTAGTCACTTAACTTTAGGGCTTCAGGCTTCCCATCTGTAGATAGGCAGCTAGACAGCTCAATGAAGAGAGCGCTGGGCCTCTCAGGGAGACTGAGGTCACATTCCACCTCAGACACTCACTAGCTGTGTGACCCTGGGCAAGTCACTTAACTTCTGTTTACCTAATCCATTGGAAAAGGAAATGGCAAACCATTTCAGTAGCTTTGCCAAGAAAACTGATATGAAGTCACAAAGAGTCAGATACAACTAAACACTGAAGGTATTAATAGGATCATAGGATCTTTTGAGTTGGAAAGAATCTTTGATTAGATCTTCAGAATCCCTTCCAGCTTTCTGGTGCCTGGATTCTGCCACTTTGAATTAACCGGCATACCAATGAATTGCCCAAAACCTTTGAAATTCCCCCAACTCAACTGAAGCTGAACCTGTCCGCTGTGGAACACTAGACTTATGAAGCATGGCAGTCTCGCCCCACTACACTCTCTTTATGATTGTCTCTGAGAAGATGCTGAGCAGATTTTCCCTCCCCGGCTTCCTATCCACTTCAGCCCTAACCTAGGTCTGAGCCCAGTTACAGAACTCTTCCAGCTCTGCTGCCTGTTCTGCTCACTGTAGAAGGCAAGAAGAGAGACTCTACATCCAGAGAACATTCTAAGAGGAAGATTAAACCCAGGGAGTGGGGGTGTCTGTGTGTGGATATTTCAAAATAGGAAACATTTTTGATTAAAAAGTTTAAAAGTCCAAAAGTCTCTTTCCTGATTTCATGTCCACAAGCCTCGACAAACAGTGGGAAGGGGGTTGATAAAACACAAAAGTCTAGCGGCCAGCCAGGATTCTCAGGAGATAGGAAGGCCCTGTAGAAAGGAGTTCCAACTGGTCTCCACCAGAGACTTCCTGGCCTCTACAGCCTCTTTCATACCATGGCACTAACAGGCCCCAGACTCTTACCCTGTCCTCACCTCCTTTACTGCCAAGCGCAGCTGCTCCAAGGCATTTTCCCTCCTCTGGGCCTCCTCCTTCAGAGCTTGACCAGTTCCTTCTTCTTGAACCACTTCCGCCTCCAGGCTCTGTGGGCCACCAAAGGGATTGGAGAGAGCAAAGGATTAGGAGCCAGCAACCTGACTTCAACCAATTCCCCTCCCAGCTAGCCAAGGGCCAAAGAAAGCCAGGTAACTGAGAGTGGGAGGATCAAGCAAGGCTTCAGGTAAACCTGGACCCAAGGACTGAAGGACAGGTGAGCTTTCAAAAGGCCAAGGGGCAGAAGGGAGAAGAGAAAGACATTCTCTGTATAGTGAATATGGGCACAGGTCTGGAACTGAGTCAGCCAGGGTGAGGTATGGCTGAAATTTCAGAGTTGGAAGAGGCCTCAGATGCGAAGTAGTCCAACCTGTAGTAACCCAAAAAGGAGCCAGCTGCGGACAGTCTGACAAGGGCAGAGTCCAGTGCGACTATCACCTCCCTAGTTCTGGACCCCAGGCCTCTCTTAACAGCCTTGGATTGAATTGGCTTTCCTGGCTGCCATAACACCCTGTTGGCTCATACTCAGCTCACAACCCACTAAAACCCAGAGATCTTTTTTCAGATGAAAGCCTGTCTATCTGTCATCTCCTACTCATGCGATGGGTTTTTCTGAACCCAAGTGGAAGATTTTACATTGAACACTATTGAATTCCATCTTATCTGATTGAGGCCAACTTCCAAGGCACTGCCAATGTATCTGTGGTCAGACCCTGACCCATCTGTCAGCTAGCCCTCCCAGTTTAGTATCTGCTACAAATTCACAAAGCGTTGAATCTATGCCTTTATCCAAGACACTGATAAAAACACTAAACAACTCAGAGCCAAGGAGAGATCTCTGAGGAACTCCTCAGGAGACCTTCTTCCAGTCTAGCAATCCTGTCAAAAAAGGATAGTATGTTAATTGGACGTGATAAAGTGATACTGACACTGTGATCACAACTTTCTTTTCTAGATGTTCACCTACATTCTGGAACTGCACCCAGAGCCCAAGTCAAATTGCTTAGAAATTCCATACTCCTTCCTCCCCTTTAAATCGAGTCAGCTGACATTCTCCAGGTTTAAAACCACCCATTCTCTCCTTCCCCTTACTCTTGTTCTCCACACTCTTTCAAAGGTCACTGACCTTGGCTCGGCATCACTTCTGCCAGTTTTTTCAGTACCCTATGATGTAGTTTGCCTGGGTATATTCTCTTACCATCCTACTTATCTTGGGTTTCAATGATCTGTTAGACATTCTGACCACAGTTCGGTATGCGCGAAGGAGAATCAACATGAGAAAAGGCTGGAAAGGTGGGCTGGTACCTGGTTATGGAGACCCCAAGGCCCAGGGAAGGAATGGGGATTTTGTTTGGAAAGGGTGTGCAGCAATTTTTTCTTTATTCTATAGTTGGGCTGATATGACCTTAAGGACTCCTCATCACTCTCTGATCAACTCCTTAGCCATGATCAAGTCTAACACTAATAGACAGGCTGCTTATTATCAAATGTTCTATTTCATGACTTTAAGAATCTATGTGGTCCTTTCTTTACCAATGCAGGTCAGAACTTTTCCATACCAACATGGATATTTTCATGAGATATTGTGGCCCCCAAAATTAATCATCCACTAGCCAACTACCTCTCTGAATTTAGCAAAGCTAGTCTTTGGGCAGACATAAAGTCTTCACCATGCCCATGCTCCATGTCATTCCAGCTGGGTAGGATATGACACAGTCTACACTTGGCTAATACTGCTTTAAAAAACCTCAGGGTTACAGCCATGCCTCAACTAGGCATCCACTGAAGGAGGATGATAGTGAGGATTAAATATCCAGATTTGCTTAAACACAGGCTGCTCTCCCAAATCAGTCACATCCCTTAAAATGAGTTCTCTTTGAAAGGGTATGTATATGCATGTTTATACTCAATCAGGAAGCATTTATTAAAGCACCTAATATGTGCTACTCATTGTGCTATACTAAAAATAGCACCAATTCTAGGTCACCCCAGGGTTATATGCAAGCCAGTTCTGAGGAGGATGGGGAGATTAGGTGGGTGGGAAGCACAGGACGTACTTGGATCGATACAACATAAATCTGGTCTTACATCACCCTGGAGTTTGTTGGAAAAGGCATCATATGGCTAAAGACCTTTGCTAACTATCCAGAACAAGAACAGAATTCTATGCTTTTAAGTCCCAAACAGGCAGTAAGACTTCCTAACAAAACTGGTACTTTATGGTATTTTTATGCTTTAAAATGTTCAGAAAGGACAGCCTGTTACCTGACTAATTTTCCTACTGGACACCTCTAAGAAGCTAGATATAAACAACCCAGACCCCACAAAGACAAAGGGGCAGAGCAGGCTCTTAAAGTAGATGCTACGATCATGAACTGTGATTCCATTATGTGATGGGTGAAGGGCAGGAATTTTTCCTACAGGAACATGCCTAACTTCTGGAAAGCATCTGATATATTAAGTGAAGTCAAAGCTGGCACCTTGTAGGGTCCAGGTCCTGCTTACCTTCACTTGTGAACACAATTGGTCTATTTTCTTCTGTTGCTTATCCACGATCTAAAAGACAAAGAAAATAGAAGGAAAAGTCAGGGCTTATTTTCTCACAGATGAAGTTTGTAATATCAGACCTCAGCAGTATGCTCACTGGCCCCACTGGGCTACATGTCTCGGTTGACTCAGGCAGAGCTAAGAACTAGGTTGGGGATTCTGACAGGAAGTTCTCCAAGAGTGTCCCCCTGGGGGCTAGCCCTGTTCCTGGCACACAGTAGGCACTCCCCACAGGCCTGGTTATTGATTCTGGTGGCTCAGTTAGCTCAGTGGGGAGCTAACTGAAGGAGCAGGAAAAATGCTGGCCTTGGACCCAGAAGACCTGGGTTTCAGAGCAAAGTCTGTGGGCAAATCCCTCAACCTATATTTCAGTTTCCTCATCTATAAATGGGGATTACATTATTTGCTTTCTCTACAACAGGATCATTGTGAGGAAAGTAAACAATATAAAGTGACTCATTATCTGGTGTCTCAGGCACCAGCTAAGCCAGGGCTTGGTGGCAATGGCTGCCAGTTTTTGTATAGCCTTGAGTTGAGAATGGTTTTACCTTTAAACATCAAGTTTTGTGGTATTTAAAAATATAAAAACCATGATTAACTTGCAGGCTGTACAAAAACAAGTGGTGGACAGGATTTGGCCCTGTGGCTTGTAGTTTTCTGACCCCCTGGTCTAACCCATTGATCTTGGTCATTACAAATGAATGCTGACAGGACAGGGACTGAGTGGGACAATGTGTCTGAGTGCAAGATTGCCAATAATCCTTGGAGAAAAAAATCCCCGTTATAGTGGAGTAGAAAGAACACTGGCCTAAAAGGACTTCAGGGTGCACATCCTGGCTGTGCTCTTCACTAGGTCTGCACCTTGGCTTCCTTCTCTTTTTGTAAGATGAAGGCACTGGACTAGATGGTGTCTCCCCCTCTCCCCCCCCACACCCCCCCAATTGATTCAATGTTTGACTTTTTAAAAAAAATTATCCTTGTTAAGGAGCCTTTGTGCTGGAGAAAAAGGGGGTGGGGTGGGGAAAATATCACAGATCAGTCAAGACAAAGCCAAGAGGGAGAGAGAATGCTAACAACTGGGTACCTGGAGACAAAATCAGGAAAAGTTTCCCACAGGAGGCACCTAAGCTCAGCCTAGAGGGAAGCTAGGTATTCTAGAAGGCAAAGGAGGGTAGTTCAGGGTCAGGGACAGTGTGTATAAAGGCACGGAGATAAGAGAGGAACCATTCAGTTTGGGTAACAGCTAGTAGTATAGTTTGGCTAGAACATAATGTATGTGACTGGGAGTAGTTGGAGATAAAAGGTAGAAGGCAGGTGGGAGCCAGACTGTATTTTATCCTAAAGGCAATGGAAGATTTTGGAGCTCAGATCTATGTCTTAGGAATAGCAATTTGGCAGCTGTGTGGAGAATGGATTGGAAGAAGACTGGAAGAGGGAGAAATCAATTACGGAGCTACTGAAACAGGTCAGACAAGAGATGATAAGGGTGTGAAGTAGGGTAGTAGCTATGAGGCGTGGGGGCAGGACTTAAAGGCAGAATTGATGAAACATGGCAACCAACTGGACGTAGAGTAAGGGAGAAGGAAGAGGAAAGAATGACTCTGTAGTTATGCCCCATTTAGGTAGCATTACTGGAGACATGGCCTCATTTACTTTCCTACCCCCTTATAAGGCTTAGCACATAGTAGACACTTCCACTGACATGAACTGAATGAGGTATGTCACCTGAATGAACTTCGTGGTTAACCAAAGTGTGCTTACTCTTTAGAGTAGCAAAACTTTTAAATGGAAATCTTTCTAAAGTTAATTGCCTCTCTCCTAAGTAACTTTAGACTACTGTGTCCTTTGAACTCTTGAATTTGCTGTTTATAATTGAAGGGCAGTATGGCAAGATGGACAAAGCAATGGGTCTGAATTCAGGAGACCCAGGGTTCAAGTCCCATCACTGCTCCAAACCCGTTTCTGTAAAAATGAGGACATGTCTTCCCTGGTTATTGAGAGCAAAGTGGCTCCATGTAAATGTCATACTCTTAGTAGCATCTGTCCATTCCATCCAAAATCATGTAGTATGGCCCTGTTCTCTCCTCATTCTGCTCTGCCCTGTCTCCCCATGCCTTTGCTGGACCATTGATCTCCTGTTCCTTACCTGGGGGTTCTCCCCTAGACTGTCCTAGGTCACCCCTCCTTTTCTTTCTATCGTCTTTCTTTCAGGAATCTCAATGATGATCATATCTACTCAGATGGATCCCGAATCTATATATCGAGTCTTAATCTCACTCCTGAATTTCAGCCCACATCACCAACTGCTGGCTAGTCACCTCTACACCTGGCTATCCCAACAGTACCCTTAAACTCAACCTGTCCTAACAGAACTAATTTTCATACTGGCAGCAATAGAGTCAAAGAATGCCAGCATCTGGAAGGAGCTCGGAGGGTCACCTTGTGATGCTCTCAGAAGCTACTGAGGTGGCTGCACTGTCCGCCTGATGCCGAGGAACAGAGCACATCTTCCCTCACACTCACCCCTTCTCCAGTCCCTCTAGTTTACAGCCATGTAAAGTTATGCTTGACTCTTCCTACTCCCTTCTCCCCTCCCACCTCTACCCCCTCCTTTCATGATGGCCTTTACTTTTTATCCATTATGCATCTCTATTGTTCTTTAAGCCAGAACTTGAATTCTTCGGAGATCATGATTTGTAAGCATTACAGGCAGAACAAAGTTAGAGATGGGCTTTTGCAGCAAACAACTTAAGCTGTAGATTAAACTGCAATTTCCCACAGAATGTCCAAGTCAATATCCTTTCCTTACTTGCTTGGAGACCCAGAGCACTGTCCATCCATTTGTATAACAGGGACATCCACAAACAGAAATATTTAACAACTTAATTATATTATTATTTCCAGTTCTATTGTGAAGGATAATCACTATACCACATGTTCTCTTAAGACAGATCTTGGAGCTTGAGAAAAATTTTCATCATGTAAAAATATCAGGTAAGGTAACAGTCCTTTGCTAGGAAACATACTACATGCAATTCACACGTACTTGTGAAAATCAAGCACATTATTTTTAAGAGGCAAAAATGACCAATAGCTAAGGATACCTTAATTCTAACTCACAAAT